AGGCCTACCCGGTGACCTGCCTTGCTGTGGGTCAGAAAGGGAATGCACATCTGGGCTGGAAGCTGGGAAGGAAAAGAAAGTTTTTAAACTGGCTCTGGTAGCAGCGATGTTCTGACATGAAACTATACTTTGAGAGGACTGCTTGTCCTTTCTCCTGACAGCAGGACAACCAGAATGTTGTCCACAGTCTCTGCAAATAGGTTTATTTTGAGGGCATAACTTATTTGACCATTTGCACAGGGGAAAGCCTACCCAATAAGTAGCTGTAAATCAGTTGAGTTTTGCACAGAAACTATTCCACCACAATAGGGGGTGATGGAAAGAATTATGTCAAACATGAAATAACAGCTGGCCTAGAATGGGGTATGGAAATTAAAAAACTGAAGAGTTTTGAACAGATTTCCCAGTTAGGTGACTCAATGTCCACAGCGTCTTTTCCTCGCTTTTTAAACTTTGTTCCTGAACAACTCCAGAGTTCTTTCCAGCGTGTGTCACGCACCACATGCTTTATTCACATTCCAGGTATCCCACACTTGTTTTCACAGAGTCAAAAACTAAGTTTTTTTTTTTCCTTCTCTCTCCCTCCTCCCCATATCTTGATCTATTTATAAATTGCACAACTTGGCATGGAAGCACTGTGACCAACGTGCAAGCATAGAGTTTAATTATCAGGGTTTTTTTTCGTTGTTGGTTTTTTTGGTTTTTTTTTGTGTTGGTTTGGCAACTAGACAGAAAGAAGTGCGTTGCAGATGTCTGGTTCAAGTGTTATATGGGCGAAGCAGAGGGAACTGAGTAAACATTTTCACTGTGTTCTTCTCAATACTTCTTATTCTAACGCTGCCATGAGAGGGAATACACTTTCTGCAGGTGGTTGTAGTTGTAGTTTTTTAATGCTGTTTCTGATCACTTGCATGAAGTGCAACTTTTGTTCAGCTTCTGAAGGAGTTATGGATGATTTGGCCAAATCTTTCCTTAAAGACATGATTCTTACTCAAGAGAACTTGGTGCTTGGTAGTTGGCCATTTTACCAGCATTCAAAAAGTCTTCCGACATGAAAGGCACAAAATTTCACCTTATACTGTAACAACATACAGAACAAAATGCTTGGCTGCTGCTTCTGACAGGAGCAGTGCACGTTCATTATTAAAGCCATTCGCCCCTTCCTTTGGATGAGAACTGCCGTCCTCATTGCATATGTGGATACAAAGGGACATTACAGTAGAATACAACAATGTGGAAACAAAGCTCATGCAATGCAGAGAGCATACTTTTTTTGGTGACACTCTGCAGTGGGGGCCATCCATGACCATACTTTGGAAAGGATTAGTCCTTAGCTTTGTCTGGATATGTGTGAACTGGATGTGAGTTAGCTACTGAGGTAGGGCAACATTCTCGTCTCAATTCTCCTCTCAAATCATGAGTAATTCCTTGAGTATAATAAAGTAAGACTGGTTTTACCCCAATGTAAATGAGAGAAGATGCCAAATTCTTGGGGTGAGTATATAAAAACTTGAAAAAGTTCCTTTTCGTGATGTACATCTTACTGTACCCTTGAAGAACATATTTTTCTTCTCTTTGTTCACTACAATCATTCTAATTTTTTTCCTTTTAGTGTGAAAATATAGAGGGGCTAGTATGTCCACATTTGAGAAAACTTATTCGGCTTTCAAAGTGAAATAACATTGCAATTTACTAACATAAAACGATTGCCTTGAGTAGGGGTGGAATGCTTTCAAACTTTGTAAAACTATGACGATGTGCCTTTCTTAAAAGATTTTTAGAGGGGTGCTGGAAACCCACCTCATGGTATTCTTAACATCTGAGCCAAAAGTCTCTGAATCCAGCTGTGGCTGCAGTAGATGTCACAGGTGGTCACAGGTGTTTGCAGAGACTTGACTCCTATTCAGAGCAATGGGAGAACAGTTCCTGCGACATGTCAAAAAAGGAAGGAACATGTCCACAACCTGTGTTTTTTCTAGCTTGATAAACTCAGATTTAAATTTATCATCATGTTTCCAAGCACTTTCATTGCTTCTCCTTAGATTATTTCACTTTCTGGCACATTAGTGGACTGAGCTTGGGCACAGCAGTCTTAATTATTTTTCTTTTTCAAAACAGTTAAGCCACAGAACATTGTGCTGTTTTCTTCTTGGCAACTGCTTTTTTCCATACTGCCAGGACACTGTTGAGCTCTCCTCAGTTTCTGCTGGCAAGGATGCAAATAACAACCCTTTGCTTTTTAGGTTACAGATCACATTTATCACTGGAAAGCTTAAAAATTCTAGAGGAAGCCTCATGAGCAATAAACTTCAACTTCCTTGACCCTGGTCAGCTGGTCTTTAATGCTTCTGGGATTTGAACACTTTCTGTGCCAATTTGTGGCCCTTTGTCAAACCAATGGATGGTTTAGGACAGCTCAGATTGTGGACTATTTTTCATGTCTGCTTTGATCTATTTGGAGCACTGTACTAGCTATGCATGTTGCCCAGCTCTGCAAATAAGGAAGCAGTAAGAAGACAGATAATCAGAATAATCCCCCTCTCCTCCTTCTTATTGCATGTTGTTAGGATGTGTTCAGTGATGTTTGCCTTACTGTCACATGCAAGGTGTGTCACTTCCCAATCAGGAGGAAGCCTGAGAACAAATTCAGTCTCCCTCTGTCCTGTGCTGCTCCAAGGCCATTGCTGCTGTATGCTGACTGACACAGGAGACTTGAAGAAAAGCTACAGGTCATCTGATTATTTCCATATTTTAATCAAGTATTTAGTTCCTCACTTAATATCAAAAAAATACTTAATTTCACAACAAATATGAAAATAAAGAAAAACTAATTCCTAAAAATTACACCCAAAAATTACCTGGCATGTGCCAGGTTACAGGGTGCTCCCACAGTATTCAGATTATATTTGCAACATAGTTATGGTTATAATTTTATAAAATATACTATATCATATAATATCATATTTCCTTATTTTCTGTGCAAATGTGATAAGCCATTGTCCCAAGGTGCTTGAAAACTATGCTGTGGTGTGAATGCAGAGTTACTAAGCTGATATGTGTTGTTTAAAGACGGGTTATAGTAAATAGTATTCCCATTCTGACTTGGGCAAGTTGTGTTTCTGAAACAAGAGAATTACACAGCTAATTAAGTTATTGCCATTCAAGCCACCCTGTTGTGATTCCACTCGTGTTGTTTGATACTTCACGCGGTCTGTTGCTTATGAGAGCCTTGCAAATGTCAGGTGCAGAGGCTGTACTCCTTTCCCAGAAGATTCCTGAAATTTCCCTTGCATTCATGCTGGTTCTCCAAGTTACGGCATCCCCTTACACTGAAAATAATGTTGTCTGTGTATCACCTTAAAGTGCTTTTGTTCTGTTTTCCCTTTTATGATTGCATGTACCCTTCCTGAAGGATAAGAGAGGTTGGTTAGGCATAAGCAGATATAGGCACTCATGTAAGGCAACACTGAAACAGGGATGACTGCACTGCCCACTTTCCTATGTGAGAGCCCAGGAATGTGAAGTTAGCTGCAGCTGTGATGGTGTTAGAACAACAGCTGGAACTATAGTAATAAAAAAACCCCACTGTTGCTACCCTTACTCCTTTCATCTGAGCTGGAAATGGCTGTGGAGGCTTGCCTCGTCGTCCCATGGCTCTCTGCCTTGGTTGCACTCCTGCCCCTGTCTCTGCCGGCCCTGAGACGGCTTCTGGAATAGAAAATTTCAATTTTGCTTATGCTGCTGAAAGGACTTCAGCTCAACTCTACAGACATGGAGATTTGTCATTAAATTCTATCAGAATAGAATTACATCTATTCAAAGAAATCCTGGGCCTCCAAAAACCTTGTTTAACCGTTTTCGTCAGGAATAATTTAAATCTGAGGTGCTAAGCTTGGGTAAAACTTTCCTAGCGTGAGTGAGTTCAGAATCAATCTCAAAGTGGGATTGTGCTCAGCCTTTATAAGAAGCAAGTCTTGTCTGTCTTTTATTAAAAATGTTATCTTGAAATTTTTTGTTGTTTCTGCTGCCTTAGTGTGAATGTATGTCTCACTGATTCAAATGCAATATCGTGCCCTGAGTGCTCTCCGTAGAGCTGATTTCTGTCCAGCATCCCTCCGTCTTACTCGCTGGCTTGTGAACTATTTCTAACTGTATTGCTTTTTATCTAAATTTAGTCTCGTTTTAGTGATGATGAGTTCTTGAACTCTCTGAAGGCATTCGTGTTTTGCAATATTTGTAATCACTCCTAACAGGACTTTGGAATGATCAGTGAGCTTCATCTATATTTAGTTTACTTCTTGCAGTGTGATTCATGAAGATGTTGGGCTGAGTACTAGCATATATTTATCAACATCTACAGTGAACTATTCTTCAGAACAGAAACTGTTTTTTTCAAACCAGCTGTCCAGAGACTGTTAATTTGTCAGAAATATTTATTCCTTCTGAAAAGCCAGTGTGAAGTGTGCAAGTAAACCTTCCTTCTTTAACAGCGATTCAAGATGACTAGTCAAATTTTAAGATATCAGAGAATGTTGTCCGTATATTCCCATAGGTGTCATTTCCGTGACTCTCAATGACTGGATCCAGGAGGCCTACAGAGGCAAAAAATGATGCCATATCTAGATACTCTTCTGAGGAGCCAAATCCTTCCTAACATTTTCTGCTAAACATTTGGTTGAAATTCTGCTACTCTTGATGGAAGTCAGGGATATTTCACTGACTTCATTTAAGAGATGCAGAAGCCGGTGTTCCCTGAGCAGATATTAAGTATGTATTATAATGATACAGGACGGTCTTTAATTTCTCAGAATGGAGAACTCCAAACTGCCCAAATCACCCTCTTCTTTTGATGATAACGACTTCAAGATGCTCAGGGTTTTCATCCATGACTTTGACAATGAGTGTTTTAACTTTCAGAGATTGTTAAGAAGCTGTAAAACAAGTTTGAAAATTGTACTCCTGATACATGCCTCCCCCCCCCCCCCCCCCTTCTTTTTCAGAAAGTATTTTGGAGAAAAGATAGGACTTTATTTTGCATGGCTGGGTTTATATACAGAATTCCTCATTCCATCTTCAGTAGTCGGGATTATTGTATTTCTTTATGGATGTATAACCATTGAGAGCGACATTCCTAGGTAAGTTTTTCTGCGATCAATAATTTGTTACTTGAAAATTATCAGAATGTGCTTTTTGTTTGTAATCCTTAGCGTAATTGCTGTTAACATGTCTGAAGAGCAGCGATGTATCATTAACAACCCTGTGAGCATTAGAAATACACATGCATTGCGGAGATAAGACATTTGAATGACACACATTTATTTGGCAATTGAAAATAGCCATTGCTGTTGCATTTGGCTATTGCATTTATTTGCAGCTTCTGAAACAGAAATGTTCAGTGAGTCTACTGCATTATTTTAAGTTGTTTTTCATGACATCCATTTGCTTTTTATGAATTCACGTATCTCCACCCTCATCCAGAAAGACATCGTGCAGAACTCACTGAAGTTAACGCAAATACACTGTCCTGTACTCTCAGATTACTTTGTTCGTCTTAGTAAAATCAGGCTGTTTGCACAAGTGAGATGAGCAACAGTTAGCAGATTCAGCATATTTGGTATCCACAGTATTCTCCTTCTTGACAGTTACAAAAAAAATGTTGAGTTTTGTGCTGTGTGTCCTGAGGGTGTTATACTAAACAAAAACTGCCAAATTGACATGGTGATGTTAATGTCTGCTTCTCAGTGAAAAAAAAAAACCAGGACACCCTCTCTGTTATCTGTGCCTGACTTCTGGTGGAGATAGGATACTGGATTTTTAGTACTGCTGGTCACACTGGTTGTGGTGGTTCCTGCGTTCTCTCAAATGAATTGGCAACTTTTAAAGTGGATCGCTGCAGTAGGATATGATTACAGATAGGTAAATGCCGAATAACCACACGTCTGAGTCAGGGTTTGTTTTCTTAGCTTGAGCTGAATGAATCTTGATGGGCTGTGTTTGTCTGTGGGAAAGCTTGTGCTAACATTTAAACTGAAGTGAGATTTATGGCTAAGATGTATCTGCAGCACCCTCTGCTGCCTTTTGAAATAGCAGAGAGAATTACTTTAATGCTAGAATAGCTGGAAACAGCTGTATGTCTTTCAGATGATATAATATTAAACATATTGGTACTACAGTTTCAATAGTTCTCTTTTCGTATGAAGTAAGAGAAAAAAATGCTATTTAACGATGGTCTAATCACAATGTGCCAGCTATCAATGAAGCGATGCTGCAAGACTTTCCGTAGCTCACAACCCTGAGCTTTGCGCTACTCGGTTCATCTGAGTAAGACTGTGCAGGTATGAAGGTCTTCCATGTACAAACCTTACGGAAAAAACTAAAAGCATACTCAGCAGTGCCAAGTAGCGTTTGGGTTGTTAAAGAGATAATGCTAATGATTTTTTAAGGAGTTTTAGAAACTGAGTAAATCCATAGCAAATAAGACTAAGAATTAAAACAACTTTAAATATTTTTAAATCTGTAAGAAAGTCTCTTACCTCACATTTTCCAGAGGACAACTGAACAAATGCTGTAAAACTGAGGGAAAGGAAATACAACTTAACATCTGAATATATGAGGGGGAAGTGGAAGCTTTCTAGTTTTTAGAAGATTTACTGCTGAGGGGAGGGGTCTTTTCTCCTTTTGGTTTGTTGTAGGGTTTTTTTTTTAGTTTGTTTGTTTTGTGGTTTTTGTTGTTTTTTTGTTTTTGAAAATTATGTTAGCACTCTGTACTGGAAAAACAAGGAGCTATGGAGACCAAGAATACCCCATCCATCTTCAATATTCAAACTTGAGAACCCTGAAATGTAAAGTTACCTGATTTCCTGAAACCATTGTGCACACAATACCTGAACACCCTTAAAACATATTAGTACGAGTGCCTAAAATAACTGCTCACATTTGAAGACTTCAGCCAAAACCTTATAGCAGATGGTGGTATAGATGAGAATCGCTGTTAAAGCCCTATGCTGGGAAAACAACCATTGCTTTTATAAATACCTCACAAATAAAACGCAGGGGAGGGGTGAATCTCAAAGTAAATGTTGTGAAATATAGGATCCTTGCTAAGAATGAGACTCTTGGCTGGTGTAAGTCTTTTAAATTCAGTACGCATATACCAGTTTATACCAAAACCTAGCGTATCTTGCAAATAGTGTTGCAGATTTATTCTGTCTGTGTCACAGACCAACCAACATGCCTGGGTGCTGGTTCTGGCTTTTATGCAGACTTACATCGCCAGTCCTGACACACAAAGTAGCATGGTATTTGACACGGATTTTTGTGCCACCACGTTCAGAATGCGTGTTTTGTCAAGGGCACAGAATTTCCTTTATGGCCACTTCAGAATTTTTTTTTCATGAATTTAAATCTGACCTGTATCAAATCCTCTAACTGACTGTAGAGATAGCAAATTCCACTTTGACTGTGTTTTAATGATTTTCTTTAGTGTCGTTAACCTCAGTCTTCAGTGATGCAGTCTTCGCGAATTCACTAGTACAGTGTAGTGATTAGGTTGGTTGCTATGTTGCTCTGGTTTTCTGTTGGTAAGGTGCATTTTAATATTCCATCGCATGGCAATGTGCCTTGAAGAAACACACAGCTTCTATTCTTTGCAAATACAAGCCGCATATGTTGCAAATAGCTTGTAGTAACTATGATGTGCTGCTTGATATTACTACTGTACGTCCCCCTTTTCTGAGTTGTAATACTCTGAAGAATTTGTGCACTTGTCCTTCATAGTAAAGAAATGTGTGACCAACGCAATGCCTTCACCATGTGCCCCCTGTGTGACAAATTCTGTGATTACTGGAACCTCAGCTCTGCCTGTGCTACCGCTCGAGCTAGCCACTTATTCGACAACCCCGCCACGGTCTTCTTCTCCATCTTTATGGCTCTCTGGGGTGAGTATTGCTTTGCGTGTTAACAGCGGCATTTCATCTTTGGACTCCTGACAGGAATGAAAGCTTGCGATGCACAGTAGTAGAACGTGTAGTAGCTGTATGTATAATAAAGTGCTGTTAGATTGAATGGGATACTTAGGGCTGTATGAAGCTGGCAAGCCTCAGAAGGCCAACGAAGGGCTGTCTGTGCTGAGGCTGGAGAAAGCAATATTACAAGGCTTTCTGCTGTCAACAGCAGGCTTTGGAATAAATAGAGAGGAGTTGGGTAGTTCAGGGCAGAAAAATATATCCTTTCTCTGTCAACTGCCTTGTTTAATGGCACTTCTAATCTTTGCTATATTTTTCGTAATTTTTCTTCATTTTCTATCTATGTGGCAAGTCCCTTTAACACCTTCTGCATTTGGGACCAGAATCTATTTGGGGATGGGTATGGTGCGGGCAGCTGGAAGGGTTTAATGTAAGCCCAGGGTGCCCCTCCATGTGGCACAACTTAGTCACATAATTTTATCAAAACTCTATGGGATTCCAAGAACAATGGGACTGTTATAATTTTAATTATATCTGCTAAAGTATTCCATTTAAACGAGCTTGGTTTTCTTTAATGGCAAATATACCCTGTCTCACTGAGGATATCAAAACACTTCATAAACACATAAAAAATGAATGTATTACAGTATTATTCTTCTTGTTTCTGGCCTTGCCTCTGCCCTGAAAAGTCTGTGTACTGTGCTCGCATGTATGATTGCTGGTGTTGTGCCCTCATTCACTCTAGATCTTGTTTATTCTGGAAATTAAAGGTGTTATTGCTACTGTACAATGATTTTTTTATTTCCGTATTCATTGTTCACAAAATGAAATTTTCGTTCTTAAATGTGAAATTGAACAAATATATTACCGTTTTATTGCCATCCCTCAGCAATCAGTACGTTATAGTTTGCAACCCTATTAAAAATTTTACAGCTTGTTTTAGAAATGACTGATTGGTAGCTTGATGTTGGGTATGGATAGCATAGGGGGTTTAAGGAACTGGCAGAGAGGATAGGACATGGAAGTAAGAAGGTTTTGTTTACCAATTCTTGGAAACCCTTCAGCAGAAATTAGAGAATGTTAACAGCGGCATTTCATCTTTGGACTCCTGACAGGAATGAAAGCTTGCGATGCATAGTAGTAGAACGTATAGTAGCTGTACATATAATAAAGTGCTATTAGATTGAATGGGATACAATGTAAGCACTATGACTGAGAGAAATGGCAAAAGACGATGAATTTATAGACTCTCACCACAATGACTTACTTTCCTGCCTCAGATTGCTGCCAGTGAGAGAGTAGACTGGCAGATAAGGTGTCACAGTTCGCCTCCTGCCATGAAGCATGCAATACACTGCCTCGTCCGAGTTTCAGGGTAACTGTTTGGACATTGCGTGCATGAACGACAATTCATTTACTCTTTCATAGGTAAAGAGTATTTTCCTGACAGGGAACCTGTACTGTAAACTTGCATCTATGCAAATGATCATTTCCATGCAGCCTTATCCAAAACAGTTATATTTTAGTATCAGCAATGCAGTGCGCAAAGCAAAATATTGATATAACCTTGAGCTAAGATAAATTAGTAGGATCTGTAAAGGAACAGAAAGGAGCAAAAAGTTCCATATGCATTGCTTTTAGAAAAAGGCACGTAAGAACAACAAAATTATTTCTGAGCTGTAGCCCCCCCTCAAAAAAATATTTCCCACAGATTGGAAAAGTCTGTTCTTGGGACCATGATAACTGAGCTTGTCAGTGCAAGAAAATACAGCCGTCATATACAAAGAACAGCAAAGTGAAATGAAGTATCCTTTACTAACTCTGCCCAGCTTGCCTATTACCTATCAGATTACACCAAATTTTGCTGCCTTACTACTAGGAGACTGTACTGGTTCTGTCTAGAGCTCATTCTGCTGAATGACAGATCTCATTCACACCCCTAATCAGCTTGCCTCACAGTATCTTGAGTAAATGTTGCCTGGATGCTTTTTTGTAGGATATAGTACAGTGATGTGGAAATGGGGATGTCTTATGACTTAAAATTGTATAGTTAAAAAACCGAAGGATGGTAATTTGAGCTGGCTTCATTTCATGATGGTGTTGGGCACAAGAAGTCTTTCATCCTGCTTGCCTTCTCCCATTCTGTAAAAGGCAGATGACTTACTATGGTTAGTATCTTGAAAGGAATCATGCTTCTACTAGCTAATCTTGATGCCTCAGAAAGTATCTTTGTGATTCCAGCAATACTGTTTGCAAATGACCCTATTCACAAAATACAGAGTTATGCCTGGCTAAATTGTGCTTAATGTCACTGATGTTCTGGGATGCTGAATTTCAGTCAGATGCATTTATTAGAAGGATAGTTGAATATAATGGGATCATTTTTCTGCTGGTGTAAGTCAGTGCAAACGTGCTCGTTTCAGAACGGCTACTGCATCTAGCCAAACAAGTTCTTGCAGAGCTAAATGTGGAACTGACTTTTTGAGTAACAGGAAAAAATGAAATGAGTAATCACACCCTATAAAATAACCAAATGTTTTTGTATTTAAGATATCTAAAAACCCTTGAGTTTTCAAAACATACTAAATATAGCTTTTATATGTTCTCTCCTCTGTAAGGAAGGAGCGGAGATAGCAGCTTAATTGCTTACTGTCTGGATTTACTTTCAGTGTACTGCCAGTCCTGTGTTTAAATGGTATTTATTTCTTACATTATGGGAGGATACCTGTGCAGAAAATATTTGCAGCTAACTGTTGGAAAAGATTCTATCTTGTAAGAGTCAGGTTATTTTAATAGTAGTCCACCTTTTCCTAGTGCTATCTTACAGCTTACACCAGGTGTAGATGTAGTCAAAGGAAGCTGGATCTAATTCTCCACTTGTGTTGTGTGTCTTGTGGAGCTATCTACAAGATGTCCAAAGTGGTGTAAACACTGCTGTGATCTAACAAAGTTTTTACAATCCCCTTTTCACTAACTGAAAAATGTGTCAGGTGATGTGAAGCATAAGAAAATGGAAAACAGGGCCCACGGTTGTTTATAGGTATAGCTTTTATTGGTATAGTGGCTGTTTATAGTTGATGTATACTGGTTTAATATAGATATAGTCATCTGAAAATAGGTGACCACAAGTCAAGAGTAAGAAGTACTATTTCTAATAAATCCGTTAGTCCATAAATCATGAGCAGCTAGGCAAAGGGCTATCTAGAGGAAACAGTAATTATGAGAGGAAGGTCAGGAGACGGTAAATATGAGACAACAGTACATCTATTCCTGCATATTAATGAAAAAGGCAAAGCAGGAGACTAAACTACTGGCCAGTCCTTTAGAACAAAATCACCGTGTCTATGTAGGACAAAATCATTCAACTGTACCACTATAATATGTTGCAAAAGAACATTATTTTCTACATATTCCTGAGGGTCTGTGTAGTTTACATATAGGTATGAATGATTTATTTCAGTCGCAGGCTACACCTACCTTCTTCACACGTTTCTGACTGATTAGAAACACTGAAACAGCAAAATCTGTTTGGCCAGTTAGAGTGTTACAGATTAATATTTAGACCTAGATTTTGTTTCATTATATGCTTTGTACTCATGAATTATAGAAGTACACATTGTAAATTAAGAAAGATTATGTTCTTGGGGTGGATATCAGCAGATACGGGTTCGGTTCCATTCTCTGACTGGATTTGCTGCCTTTGGACAATCCATGTTGTATCTTTCTGTATTTTATCTGTAAAAAAGACAGTAATTATTGTTTCCATGCTTTGCTTGTGTTCTTTCTTCAAATTTGGACCTGGGGCTGTTTCTTAGTGCTTATCTATAAAGAGCTTGGCATAATGAGATTCAAGTATCAGTTGGAGATTATAAGTAATACAAACATGCGCCATAGTGCATTGGATTTATAATTTTAAAATTGTTTTAAATTTTTTTTAAAGCTACTATGTTCCTTGAACAATGGAAGCGTTTGCAGATGAGATTGAGTTACTTCTGGGATCTAACTGGACTGGAGGAAGAAGAAGTAAGTTTCCTCTCCCTGTGCTAATTTGCTGTATAAATTATTCTATATCTAAAGATATGCATTGGTATTTAGATTTCTCATGAGTGTTCTCCAGCCCAATGCAGTTCATAGCTATGTTTTTCTAAATGATTATAACTGATACGGTTTTGAGTACCAACGTATCATTAAAGAAATCATCACCTATATCTTACTAATCAGCATTCTAATTTTAATAATTCTTGTTGAAGGGGATTATATGATAACAGCAGATCATTCTTTGCTGAGAATGCCCATGTGTCATTGTACAGAGTGCAGTAAGAGAATGATAATAAATACTTTGTCATATATATGCTATTCATTATGTATAACAAAAATTCTCTGTGAGAATGGCTGTAACATGTCAGGATAACATAAACAATATTTGCATCCAGGTCTGTGCTGCATCTATGATGCCTTAGGTACAATATCCTGAGCTCTAGGTGCTCACCCACAGAGCTGTTGCAAGCAACAAATGAGGTTGGTTACTTGAGAATGATTTTTGAGTGCTTTGCAATAAGCCTATGGGGCTTCCAGCTGTACCTGAGTTAACCGAAAAGTAAGACGTATTTGTTTATTAGTATTTACAATGTCCCTAAAATTGTTTTTGGTTTTATTCTTATGCACTGTCTCACATGTCATGGCCTATGGTCTGTTTAAATTACTGACGCTCACCAGAGGATTAGTTTCTAACTCTGACTAAAAAGAGCGCAGTTACTAGCTGTAAATACCATACTAAGGGCAGGTGGACTTTGGACCTTCCATTACACGTCACCTAGCAATGGATGCTGATGTGGATCTAAAATAGGATCATGTTCAGAATTACATATTCAGAATTCAGAATTACAGCAATTAAATTCTGTTTTATCGTTAATGGTGAGACGAGTACCTCTATGGAGCAATTCAGTGTGCCTTGCTCTCTTCATTGACTTAATAAAATGTAGTCAGGTTCCTGGAAGGTGAGTTGTAGGCCTGCCTTGGTTTGATGGGAGGTTTGGAATCCATTTCTTCATGTTCCAGCACAGTTCCTTAAACAACAGACCACATACAAGCCTCCAGCTGTGCTACTTGATCTCAGCTCAAACAGGATGTAGAGCGCAAATAACCTTGAAGAAAAGTAAGCTGACATCATGAACTTCATAATGTAGCATGATGATAATGTTATACCACTTTTGTCTCTTCCTTAGATAAGAATCATTGGATAAAATGAAAAAATAACCCTGAGAACAGACCACAGAGTCCAGTATTCCTCTTCTTCCATCACTATCCCAAAATGCAGCCTTCAGCAATATCTTTAGTGTAAGGGAGACCTCCCAAGTATTCCTTCACTGGGGACTTGACTATAACCTCCCCTATTTTGCCTCTGGTTTCCCAGCTTTTTCGTTAATCTCTATCCACTTATGACAGAATCACAGAATTGATAAGGTTGGAAGAGACCTCTGGGATCATCGAGTCTGACCTTTGCCCTAACACCACCATGTCAACTACACCATGGCACTGCATGCCACGTCCAGTCTTTTCTTAAACACCTCCAAGGATGGTGGCTCCACCACCTACCTGACATAGGTGATGCTCATAGTCTAACCTGCTACTCACAGTTTATAAATTGTGATGCAAATCAAGTGCATTGGCACATCAGAAATTACTGCTTTCCCTATGTGGAATGTCATATTGCTCCCTAGGAGAAGAGCAATTTTGAACTAATTACAATACAAACTGAGAGGCTGGAGAGCAAACCCTTGGCTCTGCAGCATGCTTGATGAACCCACCAGATTTTACTGAATTTCAAGTTCATCGCTGGCAGTACAAAATCCTAAAATTTAGCTCAATATTCGCAAAATACTCTGAGAGAATCTATAGATTTGTGAGGTCCTGTGATGAAGAACTCTGAAGTGGTAAAAGTTTGTGGACAGGAACTGTGGGATCAGCGAGAATCCTTCGTTTATGACAAGTGAAGGAGTGCCAGACGCATCTCAGCACAAGTTGAAGAATTAGAAATGTAGAATCGTAAAAATAAGGCTGGAATGGACCTTGAGGGGCCATCCCTTGTGCATGATAGGATCAACTCTACTTAAATCATTAGGAAAAGATGTTTGTCTACTCTGTTACTAAACAAATCCAGCAGTGGAGATTTCACTTCCTCCCTAGGCAATCTATTCTAATATTTATCTATCTGTACTGCTAATAAGCTTTTCCTAGTGTCTAACTTAAATCTCCTTGCTAAATGTTCTTTCTTTTTTTCTTGTCCTTTCTTTCAAAGATAAAGAGAAGGGATTACCTCTATCCTCTTTTCTGCAAAATTCAACATAATATTGTATCTCTCTGTCACCCTTTTTTTAAAAGATGAACTAGCCTTTAGTCTTTCAGCCCTTGTTCTCAAATGATTTCCTAGATGTCTGTTTATTCTTGTTCCCTTCTGGTTATTGTCTAGTTGAACCAGCTCTTTCTTAAAGAATAATGCTGAAAATGGATGTGTCTCTTGACCTGACATCTTAAACAAAAAGCCATGTGCCGTATCATCTTCTGTCAGCTCTTGGTACTTCAGCAAAAATGCGAAAGTTAGATCAGGTTTTGTTCACCTTTTATCCATTACATTCATAAAGATGAAGTTAAATTTGTCTGTAAGACAGGTACTGCCATCATGTTTCAGTAGTGGTGAAGTCTTTACAAGTGCTGAAAACTGTGTTGGAAATGGAAAATTGTCTGATCAGGTTAGGCCGGAAGGAGCTAGAAGTGGGATGCACAGGATCACGTAACAGAGCAAGAAGGAAAGGGATAAGGAGGAAGTTCAGAAGATTTAACAGTTTTAAGACTAGATGGAGTTAAGTTATTTATTATTATCAATTTCTTTAGAAAGGGAGGTTACGGAACGAAAACAGAGAGGAAAACAACCATAAAAGTTGAAAAGCTGAGAAGTACATTGTGAGAATTGTATTGAAATGAATGCCTTCAGTGTAATTTTTGTGGACCCTTGACTATAAAATTTTCAGTAAAATAACTTTCTTTAAATGCACCAGGCCAAATCTTTTGCTTCAAAAAAAGTCACAGGAGAGATTAATTTAGTCCATTTATTTGTAAATATCTTGGCAATGGCAGTCTGAGAAAGCAGACTCCCTAAGGTTTGCAGCTGGCAGCTGTACAGACTTAGAGGATTTGCGTTTGTACATCTGAAATCCTCAAAACTAATAGGTAGCATTGGGTACTAACTGTAAAATAGGTAACTATGTTGAAAAGCACTTGAGATACTGATAACTAAATAGGAGAGCGAAAGAAAAGAAACAAAGCCAGACCAGAACCATAAAAACAGACAAAGCCTTGGAAATGCCATGAATAAGCACTCAAAGTGTCATGCCACAGATGTGAGTTTGTGTAACCCAATCAAACAGATTTGTTTGTTTTTCAGGCTGTTTAATAAGGGATATAGCTGTCAATAAAGCAGAGGTAGAGGTAGGAGAATCCATACCCTCTTCTACTTGTGAAGGAGCTGGTGAAGAAATACTGAGGGACTCTGATGACGTGGGGAGTAGAAACCATCGGCCTCCCATGAATCTTCAGAAATTGAATTTCTAGGACCCAGGATGTTCCTACTTTAGGTTTTCTGGGTGGAAAAAAAATTACCTCATTTGCCCAACAATCCTGTGTAAACTGAAATAGAAATGCAGTTTTAAGAGATGAAATCTTAGAATTTGGAGCAGAACTTGGAAGAGTAGATGGACAGCAAGTCCACACTAACTGAAATACCAATGAGTGGAGGTCTTGTTATTGTTCAAATAGTCATGCTGTTGTACTGTTTCAGTACAACAGGGAGTAACTTAGTTGTCTGTCTTCATTAGAAACATGTTTGGTAAATTACAATTTTAAGTTGGAATCCTGTGCTCTGTAAAATGTTTGCAAACTTTTTTTGCAATCTCTAATTCCCAAAATCTTGTTCTTCCTTTTGCTATTTGATGATTTAAAAAAAAATATTTACTGAATCCTTAAGGGAAGACTTTAAGATACCCTGTGGATTATTGCTGAGTTAAGATAAAGTCATATGGAAGGTAGATTGGGTAAGACAGAATCAAATAGCAAGCAAACTTGTTGACATTAAATATGTTTACAGACACGTTCCATTCTCTCCTAACACGATCTTGGTTTAACTTGATCTTCTCCACTGCATTTTCAAATTTTGTTGTGATCTAATTAATTTGATGTTTTCACCTTGTTTTCCACCTTGAAAATTATGGGAGCAGACTACTTTTCTGAAGTTCTAATAGTGCCTACTAAAACAGGCAATATAAGACCCTTTTGTTTGCTTAAAAAATGGAGGAGTGAAAAGCAGACTCTAATAAAGTAACTGTGTATTCACAGCTTAGTCCTCTTGGGAAAAAACAGTCAGTAGTGGTAAAAGAGGAAAGCGTAGCTACAGTATTTTGTGTTGTGTCAAATCTCCCCTTTCATCCTTCCTACATCCCCAGTTTTCTTGTGCCAATGAGACCTTTGGTTTGGGTTATTTTCCACAGATGCATTATCTCACATTTTTCCCATGCCTATTTGGATTTTCCTGTTGGGCCCATGTTTCCAAATATTTTTGATCTTTTTGTGTGCTTTTTTAACTACCCTTTCTTGAGTTTCGTCACTCCTTCCAGTGAATCTTCTGTCACCTTCATTAAATTCCTGTTAACACTAATTATTTAATGATCCTAGGATATCTCTGATCTTCTGAAGAAGTCCTTTCAACATTAGATTTAAGTGCTGTGTTTAAGAGAATGAGAGTTTTATTAGAATAGCTGGGGAAGGAATGTTGAAAAACTGATGTTATCCCTCAGGCCTTAGGGGAAACTATTTAGTGCCAGCTGTTGCTCCATTTAAAAAATTACACATGAAGGCACACTTTAAACATGTTTTAATTTGTAAACTATAAAAACCAAAGCAGGTGATAATTCATTTGCTTGCCAAGAAGTTGGTAAAGATACATGATTACGTATTTTTCATTCCAAGACTGT